TGCAGTTGCAGAGGCAACCTTTACAATGTTACTAAAGATTGTAAGTGACCTTCTGAAAGGCGAACTTGAGAAGGCAGGGGCTCAGCCAACACCCGCTCCTGGAGAGGCCTGCATGACAATTCCCAGAGAGCCAGGAGGTGTCACTGGACGGGACTTGAACCTGAGGCTGAACAAGTTCTGGGATCTAAAGCACAGCTGAGAGATTCTAGACAATGATACTGTACTATAAACATCAAAGTTGCTAAGAGTCTAGATCTTAAATGTTCTTACCACAAAAAAAAGAAATAACTGTGATGTAAGAGACGTGTTAGCTAACGTTGCAGTGGTAATTGTGTTGCAATATATAAATGTATCAAACTAACACTTAGATACCTTAAACTTATAAAATGTTATATGCACATTATGTCTTAATTTAAAAAAAACCCTCTTTAATAAGGAAATATTATGCTAAAGCTTCAGTTTAGCAGCATTGTAAATAACTTCTAAATATGTTTCTATAATTGGGTGTAGAGATGGACTGGCTTTTATTAAAATTTTATGTATTCATTCATCCAGCCATCAAGTATTTATTTAAAATAAAAAATGTCCCAGGTCCAATTTGAGGTACTTGAGTGAAACAGAAAAAGACTTCTGCCCTTGTGGGGGTGATAGCCTCGTAGGGGAGGGATCCAACTAACCATCAGTATAATGATAAGCAAATTATATAGTATTCATCTAGCCCAGGGGTGGGCAAACTTTTTGACTCGAGGGCCACAATGGGTTCTTAAACTGGACCGGAGGGCTGGAACAAAAGCATGGATGGAGTGTTTGTGTGAACTAATATAAATTCAAAGTAAACATCATTACATAAAAGGGTACGGTCTTTTTTTTTTTTTAGTTTTATTCATTTCAAACGGGCCGGATCCGGCCCGCGGGCTGTAGTTTGCCCACGGCTGATCTAGCCTAAACATTGATTGGGCACATACTAGAAGCCCAGCAGTTTAAAAATCGGGCAAAGATCTCTACCCTTTTGCAGTCTACTCTCTAGCAAGGGGAGGTAGATAAGAAATATAGTAAATAAGTAAATTATATAGTATGTTAGAAATAGTTAAAACTAATAAATCTAAATCCAAAAACAGAGGAAATGATTGAAGTTTATTGTATTTCCTTTCAAAAGTTTCAAAGGTCCGCATATTCAGAGCCAAAACTCCTCACTTTCTAAAGAAGTTTTCTGCCAAAGAAAGTGTGCAGTCGTCAACTCTGTTAATGACGGCAGCATGTTCGTGCCATCGCTGCTCCATGCCTTCCCCAGGCAGCCAGCAAGTGCCGGTGTGGAGACAGGAGGTGACAGGACACAGCGGAGACAAGCCCTGCCCTCACGGCAGGTGTTCCTCTCCCCGCAGAACGTCATGGACAAGAAGGGGGTCGGAAAAAGCGTGCATGCGCACGGGCCACATACCCTCAAGGTGATAACTGCTCTTTAAGGACTTCCTTCGTGAGGTGTGGGGTTGCTTTTTGTTTTGTTTTGTTTTTTGCTTTAGGTCAAGCAAGAGACTCCTGAGATCCAAGCCACTGCCTCTGAGTGGAGGGATGGAGAAAGGGCACCAGTCCCTGCCAAGGCCAGAGTTGCCTGCGTTGCTGCTCCTTCCCCTCGCGGGGTCCCCTGCCAGGGAGGATGATGTCCAGGAAGCAGTTCCCAGCACGCCACCCTCAGGGCCGCTGAGGCAGAAAACGGTGGGTTCTGCAGGAATGTGTCACCTCTGCGGCCTTCTTTCAACCCGAGCTCCATCAACTTCATGTCCCAACGTCCAATTGCAAAAATGACTCTAAAGAAGGAAACGTGGCGTATCCCACATCTTCCTGTGTCATAAAGGCTCCCGAGACGTTTGTAGTAGGGTCTGTCCTTCCTGCTGGCCCAGCTTCTCCTCCCTCCTCCCGGGCCCAGCACCCACTTTCCCTCTCCACCCACACACCAGGAATGCCAATCGAGTGACCCCCTCCCTGGCCAAGCAGTGCCCGGGACCCGAGCCAGGCCAGGCTGCTTCTCCTGGGATCTGGATCTGGAGCAGGGTGACTCGGGGTCAGGAAGCATTTGCAGCCAGGCCTTTCTGATGGCGGAGCCCTGCAGATCGGGGCCCTGCATTCCCGCCATGCAGATCCCAGCTTCGCGGAGCCGCCACTACATCCTTCCAATACCCCCTGCCCTTAAACCTGCCTCAGCTGATCTCTTGCTTGTGACCAAAAGAATCCTAAGATACCCACCCACATAAACAGACTGGAGAATGTAATCTTAAAAATTACTCGACCTTTTAAAATATATTTGTTGAAAATGGCAAAAGTGAGAATTTATTTTGGTTTTCCTTAACAGTTACGTAGCAATTCACTCCTGCAGGCACAAAAGCACAGTTGAAATATATATGCAATAAGCATAACTTTTCTCCAAGCGTTGAGAAAAATTGTATTCTTGCTTAAAAAACATTATTTTAAAAAAAGGAATTATGAGTAGGCTAAACTTTTTATGTAAAACCGCTAATGTTCAAATAAATATTATGATGATATCAACTCCCACCTCCACAATGAACTACTCAGAGCAGAAATAAAATGAGTCGCTGTAATAGCTGTACGTCTCTTTCCTGAAAAATGCCATGTATGTGTGTATGTGTGTAGCCACACACACACATTTATACCTGCACAGAAACAGTATCTACTCACTCCACATTTGGCACCCACTCCTTGAAGAGACGTCAATCCTGAGTGGAAACCCCTCCATTCTGGTAACTGTCCAGCTTTCTGACCATTTCCTAATTCACAAACAGGAAGCAGACCAGATCCAGGGGCACTTACTCCACATGACCTTGACCCCTGGCTTCTGATTTTTTAATTTCTGGGCTGGCGTAATATTTAGATATAACCAGGAAAGTTTTGGAAACTTCAGAAGTTGGTATTGATGGTGAAAATATGGCCAAATAATCATAAACAACACGAAGTTGATAACATATTTTTATAGATGGTGTTTTCAAACTCTTTTGCACACTGAACCCATCAGGTTCCAAGCAAGACACAGTAAGATTTACTGCAAGGTTCGATGGGGAGACTTGGACGAAAGGGCTACTCAGAGAGGCCGTAGACAGACAAAGGGACAAACAGAGGGTGCCGAGATGGCCAGAGGTGGGCAAGAGCAGGAAGCCCTCACTTGCCCGAGAACCTGGGGGATAAGGGGTAGAAATGGTGCTACCAGAGCCCCAGGCAAAGGGAGAGCCCAGAAGAGGGCCCAGCCAGCTGCTGCCATAGACGCGGCGTCCACACAGCGAGGGAAGGCAGAACGATATCCTGCCTCCTTCTTCCCACCTTCTCAGCTACTGCTCTAGGCCAACCAGAGGCCGTGAGGCCAGGGCGACCTGGCAAGACTGTGAGGAGGAGGCTGTAAATCCTTGGGGCACAGAGAAGAGCGGGGAAGGGGGAAATGCATCTGGGGAGACCCGCAGACTAACCAGCCACATACATTAGCTCAGAACAGAGCAGGCTCAGAGAGCTTAGGGTCTGATTACATTTACATTTACATTTGTATTTAAATCCTTGATTCAGGATTTAAATACAAATTTCCAGGCCCCCAAGCCAGTGCTTTTTCCAATGCGCTTTGGTTAATGGCTCTGTCGCTGAGGATCAAGGCGAACTGTGTGGCTTGGGTCAAATCTAAGATTTGCTTCAAGCTGAGCTCCCTCAGTGAGGGTCCCTGAGGAGGCCTTTGTTGCATGTCCACCGTGGGGAGTTTCCAGTCAACCCGTGAACAAGCAGTGCTGGCCACTGTCCTGTCATGGTGAGGCCAACAGAGGGACACTGGGAGTCGGGGAAGCAGTAGAGAGGGTGTGGGTAGGAGCCTGGCCACAGAGGCAGCTGGCCAGATGAATCTAGTCTCTCTCTCACTATCTGGGATATCGGGTAATTAATCTGAGTCTCTGTTCACTCATTACTGGGGGTAAAAATCCCCACCTCATGTAGTTGAAACAACACACGTTTGACGAATAGTTCTAATTGACAAGCTCTCCCACTTATTGCTATTAACATGCTACTGGTACCCAGACAGCAGCCTTCAGGTGGGCGCCAGCCTCCACCATTGGACAGGGACAGAGACGGAGGCTGAGAGAGGGATTTTCCTGAGCCGGCATGGGGCTCAGATCTGGATTTAGAAACACACCGTGTCCCCCATCATACAGCTCTGGCCAAGCCGGGTTCCAGCATTTTCCTGGTGGGGTCTTACACCAGAAGCATCTGAAATGTGCCTACACCCACGTTTCCTCGTGCTCTCCCGGGTGGAGCAGTGTGGGGGACACGGGTTACCCCCTTTCCTGGCCATTGCTCTCCTTGACACTTCAGGGCCAGCCCAGCAGTGCTGCTGCTTCATGAACACGCCGTGTGCCCCCGACACGCCTTCCTGGGGACAATGGGTTTGGGCCCGAGGCCGTTACTTCTCGTCACTGGGGCTGATCTGCGAGGAACACGGCTTTGATGCCTGAGGACTGGCTCTGCGCCAAGAAGCCCTTGTTGGGACTCTGGCTGTTTGATGCTGAGCAGCAGTCTGCTGAGAGCCAGCGGCCTATTCATAGGAGTTCAAACCCAGTGTCACAGGCCTGCCTAGGGGGCCAGGAGGGAGAGGGGTCTGTATGACGATTCCCAGAGAGCCAGGAGGTGTCACTGGACGGGACAGTGTGACCCTGACACCAGGATAAGAGCTCTCCAACGCCTCTGAAACCTGGAGGACCTCTCCACACCCACTGCCATCAGTCGCTATTTTGGGCGCTGGCATCCAGGGTGTGCCACAACTGGTGCCTGCCGCCCACAGGAGAGAGCTCCGTAGAGGCAGGGACTGTGTCGTTGATCCAAAGGCATTCACGGTGCCTCTGCCACTGGCGGGCAAGAACGAGGAGCCAGAGCCTCAGTCATCGGTGCGCCCAGTGCCTCAGACAGAGGCCAGCACATGGCAGGCGTTCAGGGAGCATTCGTTATGGGTAGAATTTACTCACCGACAGGGCTGAACACACTGTGGTTGCTCCAATGTGCTTCTGCCTCGGGATTCACTATGAAACCGGAGCCTGTTGAATGAAAAACATCAACAACTTGTGGCAAATATGGCAGAACGAGTTCACACACGTCTATTTACCTGGTGGTCAAAGGTTAAAGCAGCCCAGCCCACCGGCATGTGTCAGTGGTTCAGCATCGACCTATGAACCAGGTCACGTTCCATTCCCGGTCAGGACACATGCCCACATTGCAGGCGGGATCCCCAGTGTGGGGCGTGCAGGAGGCAACCGATCAATGATTCTCTCTCATCACTGATGTTTCTATCTCTCTCTCCCTCTCCCTTCTTCTCTGAAATCAATAAAAAAATCTCTTTTTAAAAAAGGTTAAAGCATTCCAGTCCATCAAATATTTTGGCTATTGAAGAGTTAAGTCCATAGTTGGAAATGTAAATTAGAAAATAAACTCCATAACCAAACAAAACACACATTCCTTGATGATGGAAAGGCGAGGCCATTAAGCAACCTCTAACCACTGCACAGCACCAGCTATACATCTGGTTGAGAGCCTGAATTAATAGAAAGAAAAAAAAAGAGTTTGGACTAATAAATACCCCCTCACTGACATTTATTTTCCATACTCAATTAATGAATCAAAATGATAATGAGGCCCCTAGGCTACTGTCAATCATTTTCAAAAATCATTAAAGAAGAAAAAAGAACCTGACATGGATGAAGGTTGTTTGTGAAAGCAACAAAATCTAACCGACTCCATTAAACATAAAAGAAATTCGCTTGGAAGATAATGAGCAGCTCTTCAAAGGGCAGCCTGGTCGCCCAGGTTCAGAAACAAATGGCGGACGAGGGAGGTCAGGCAGCAGGAGACGCAGCCCAGGTCCGGCCCCAGGAGCTGTATGGATGCGCGGCCTCTGGAACCACTGCCACCGCCCAACAGTGAAGACTATCTACGTGGTTCCTTCCTCCCTGGAGCTGGAGCCACCTGGGCTGAGTGCAGGTCACAGGACCACAGCCCAGGGGCCAGGGCATGGCAGGGGGCGGGGGGGAGGAAGGGAGGGAGAATCTGGCCTCTTGAACTTCTGTAGCAAGAATTTGGGCTCTGCCTCTTTTAAGCCTTACTCACTGGGGAAATTTAAAAAAAAAAAAAAAAAAAAAAAAAAAAAGCAATGTCCCTTATACAGACTGGGTGATTTTAAAACAATCCCAAACTATACCGCCATCATACCTTATGGTAAAAAGTAAATGCAATAGAATAAAAATACGTGAGTCCATAAGGGCACGGTGGGTTGAATATCCCCTCCCAGGGGACACCGGCCCATTCCCTGCAGACCACTGGGGCAAGGGGCCCAACAAAGGGGGGATGGGTCCGTGTGCAGTGAAGCTGGGGTGACTGGGGAAGGTGCCTGTCAGTCACACCTGGGAGCAGAGATCACTGGCCAGAATGGGCGTGGCCACTGCCAGCCCATGGAAATGTGGGACTACATTATCCCTCCACCCCCCAAAAGGAGCTCGCTCTCTTGGCTCTTGTGGCTCTTGTGCTCCTGGTTCCTTGCATTTCATGTTTCCTCCACAGCCACATGGCCCTGCGGACCCCACACACAACAGATTGACGACTGCAGCGAGAACACATGCTAAGCCAGCCTGATGCCGGACCGGACCGGCTCCCACTGGAAGGAAGCTCTGGGCACCGGCTCTGACTCAGCCCTGCCGCAGCCGCAGCTACACTTCTTGACGGCAGGACTGAGGGACAGGGGACCTTGGAAACCCAGGGATGCAATTCCACAGAAATAAAAGTCACTCGTCCTCCCATGTGGGTCTCGGAAAATTCTTGCCCGCAATGGATGACGCTGCAGCGGGAAACAGCTGAGCTGGCCTGATGCTGGGTTGTGTTGTTCCAGCATGGATTGGACGCTCTGGACACGGGCTCTGATTTTGGCTCTGCTAAAGGCAAACCGGGACTTCTTCCTTGTGGGGATCGGTACCGTGGACACTCAGGGATGTAATTCCACAGAAATAAAAATCACCCCTTCTCCTGTGCGAATCTCAGAAAAGTCTTCCACTCCCACAAGCAACAGGTGGAGACGAGGACTCCCCGCCCTCCCCGCCCCTTTCCACTAGTCACACTACCAAACCCTTAGACAAGAAGCAGGTTACTTCTCACCACCCTAGGCCTAACACAATCCTATGATAGAGAACAGGCTTCTCAGCGGTCATATTTCTCAGTGGAGGACAGTGATAACGTTTGAAGTTGATGAGTTAAGGAATCATGATACAGACGTTACTGAAGGATTTGAAGGGAACCACTAGAAGAACTAAAACGAGAAAAGTTCAAGTGCTCGCCCTGGAAAAGGCGCTGGCGGTGGGGTGAGTCGTCTGCGAGTGTCTGCACAGAGAAGAGCAGAGCCGGCTGTGCAGATGGCCTGCACGGGATGGAGAGGACAAGGATGGCACGGAGACGAGAGGAAGGTTACTCCTCGGATGCTGGGACATTGGAGAAGCTGGTGAGAGACAGGGAAGGTCCCCAAGAGAAACAAGAGGAGAACCGGGGTCCCGGTCATAGCTTTCGTTCCAAGGAAGAAGGGAATTTAAAGATTGGGGGGGAGGGGTTCAGCAGTACTCACTGTAGCCACCGAGTTAAGAGACATAAGGACCAAGGGAGCTGAATTCTTTGTCACCAGAAATGCTCTCTTAAAAGGCAGTTAGAACAGCAAATGAGCTGAAGGCCACTCAGCACAGTCCCCACCGTGTTCAAGGTGGACAGAAAAGGCAAGGCAAGAAGAGAATGGGACGATGGAGAACCCAGAGTGAAGGCCGAAAGGGTCTGGAGCGGGAGGGAATGGGGCCCTGGCTGCACGGCAGGCTGACTCCCGAGCTGGTCCTCCCTCTGACCCACATCCCGGAAGGCCTGTTACGGGGGCCACCCTGAGAGCGCTGAAAGGGCCTCAGACTGTGAGTCACCCAGCTTCTGCAGCCGAAAGTGGTGGCAGGGGGCAGATTTCCTTTCAAAAGCACAGATTACATCCTCCTTCTGTCCAGCCACTTTCCGTAACTCCTTGCTGCCCACGCATACTTTCTCAACTTCCTTGGCAAGGAAGAGAATCAATAAATCACATCCCTGGATATATTCATTTCACTGTTTCTCAAAATACACCCGAGCTGGTCTCCCAACATCGCTTTCCATTCCCACCACTGCCCCTTTGCTCATGCGGGTTCCCGTGCCTGCAATCCCCCCGGGGCTCTCTGCTCTTCAGTGGCCCGAAATCAAGCATCGTCTTCTCCGTGACGTTTTCCTTCATAATCCAATTCCTGCAACAGTGACCTGGGGTACCAGCTGGCACTTGCAGGTAATCTGCTATTGTTCAGGAGTACCTCCTTTTTGGTGATAAGCTTCCTATGGGCAATTTAAAATATATATATATATTTTTTTAATTGCCAATAATACATATATTATTGATTTCAGAGGAGAAGGGAGAGGGAGAGAGAGATAGAAACATCAATGATGAGAGGAAAATGATTGATCGGCTACTTCCTGCACGCCCTGTACTAGGGATCGAGCCCGCAGCCCTGACCGGGAATCAAACCAATGACCTCCTGGTTCATGGGTCAATGTTCCATCACTGAGCCACCCCGGTGGGCGGCAATTTTTTTTAACTGACGTATCTGAGTGCAGAGCGTGATGAGTACTGATAAACGTAGTAGACCTGTGTCACCAGCCTTTGCAGCCCAGCGTCTTGCAGGAGGCGCTCTGGACGTGGGGCCGGCACAGGCAGGAGCAGGCAGAGTGAGAACCAAGAAGGACTCCGCCCCCCGAGGCCTGTCTAAAGGGGCGGGGTCACCTGAGGTCAGGTGGAGTGATAAGTCAAATACCAAAGTCGGACGGTGGGGACAAGAGGGCAGTATTTTGTAAGTCTGAGCAGGTTGTGGTTGTGCAATTCTGTGTGTTTTACTGGCAAGGTTCAGCGACCCACAGGCAGTGGTGGAGGCGGGGCCCTGGGGTGGATGTCCAAGTCAGCGTTAGCTCTGCAGCGGGAGGACTGCGCTCTAGAAACCTAGGAGGTCAGAGGTTGCACACTAGGAGCCTGCCTGAGCTCTGAGGTGAGGTTTCTGAATTTCTTGTTAAAAGCATCTGCTCGCTGCCTGCCTGGCTGACTCGGATATTCTGCTGTTACACTAACAGACCGCACGGGGCTGGGCTCTGGGAGGACGGGCAGTGCAGAGAGCGCGTCCCTGACGCTGTGCTGGTGCTTCTTCCTCCCGCTCAACAGAACTGTCCTTTGTCGGGCCTGGAAGGGCTGCGGGCTGCTGGGGGCTCCTGAACATAACGTGCTCTGAGCAGAACATTCGCTCCCTCTCCCTGCCTCATCTTCTCCATCCCAATGCACGTCACAGCATGGTTTACACCGAAGCCCCAGGAGCCTTCCTTGACTCTTGTCCTTTGCTTCACACACAGCATCAGATGCACCAGGATCTGACAGCTATGCCTTCAAATGCACCCCCGTGTTTGTGCAGCGCAGAGGTAAAGCCGGCCAGGCCTGCACCCTGCCTCACACTCACCACTTAGAGAGCGATCCCGGGCAAGCGCTCCGTTCCCGTGCGCCAAACGGAGACGACAACAGACAACAGCGTCGACCTCATAGGCTTGTTTGTGGAAGTCATGTCAACATCTAACGTGCGTAGCATTGAGCCTGGATGTGGGGGGGGGGGGGTCTCAGTTCAGGTTAGTTAGTACCAACCTCTCAACCTGCCGTCTTAATCCAACCCTTTCTTCTCCCACCTGGTTACTGAAGCCATGGACCTCTACCTCCGCTTTCGTCCTCTAGGGCAGCGGTTCTCAACCTGTGGGTCGAGACCCCTTTGGGGGTCGAACGACCCTTTCACAGGGGTCACCTAAGACCATCGGAAAACATATATATAATTACATATTGTTTTTGTGATTAATCAGTATGCTTTAATATGTTCAATTTGTAACAATGAAAATACATCCTGCATATCAGATATTTACATTACGATTCATAACAGTAGCAAAATTATAGTTATGAAGTAGAACAGAACGAAAA